CCGCATCTTCGCACGGGCAGCCCGTGCGTTGGCCATTTTTTGCTTCTGACGCCACACACAAATAGTTAACTCCTCCCACAATTTCGCTCTTTTAGCCTGTCCGCCTTCGGCTGAGGACAATATGCGTTTTTGCATTTGCACAAACATGCAAAAACGTACAACAAAAATGATGATAGCAAGCCCGAGACCTATTCTTTCTATTCTTCTATTCTTTCTATTTTTCTAAAAATGCCTGGCGTAAAAAACAGTGCTATTCAACAACAAGCATCTTTGGGGAAAACTGCGCAAAGAACGTATGTTTGTACTGGCAAGCCTAGTGTTTGTTGCCACTGATTTGATACTAACTTCGACGGTCACATCTAGATTCTGTCTCCTACATAATACATCTCTTCACACTCCAGCAAACTTACCAGAAGAAAATCCATGTCAGTCTCACCCTCATCCTACTCTTTTCACCGGCCCCTCAATTTTTTTAGACATTTCCGAACCAGGGCATGCTAGAAAAAGGGAAGGCAAAAGAGCGAGAGGCGAAGAGAACGGGGAACGAGGAAGAGGTAAGAATGGAAGAAAACGATACGCAGCCATCCCGAGGAAAGAAACAGACTTTATCTGCAACTTAACAGCCTCCTCATAACCTTTTACATCCTTGAAACTTCATCTCGTAATTAATTTTTGGATTTCTGCAGATTAGAAATCTCAAGGAAAAAATTCCTTTTAACAAACTGAGCTGTTAAGCAAAAATTTTAATCATTTTTACTGCCTTTCATGAAAATCAACATAAACGAAAAAATTTTAAAATTCACGCTGCAATTCCTGCCTGCAAACTCGATGCTTCATTCAAAAATCGAACACAGTTTAAACCATTTTGCAAAAATGCGGCAAGAAACAACAAAAACCTCAAATGCATAATTTAAAAAACCGCGCAACACCATTTTCCGAGAAAAAAAACCAAATATCCGGAAAAAAACTTCAAAACTGCCATTTAAATGTTACTGATAACAGCTCCAACTAACGTGCCAATATGAAAAATTTTTCCGTTGAAGAAAATTTAAAAGATGAAAAGAAATCAGACGGTTCACTGTGCAACTTTCTGTGTCCCCATGGTTCTATCGATGAGAGCCGGCTACTGCCTCCGCCAGAAACAATTTTGCAATATTTTCACCAGTAACCTGCAAAATTGAATTTTAATGTCTACTAGTCACGCATCAAAATAGCACGAAACGTTAAAAAAAATGTGAAGAGCCACGATGCAGCTGACACGCCCTTCTGCTCTTAAACCAACGGTTAATGGACAAACTGAAGGAGGCATGCAGTAATTAAACTGGACATCTAAAACAGTGGCAAATAGTTCAAGCAAACCTCAGCAGCATAATCGGCATGAGCATTTGCATCTGATGAACATAAAAAGCTTTCCAGCATTCCACTTTTTGCAGCTAGCTGTGGCGGCTTCATCTTTTTGATGTCATCAAACGACAGTGGAGGCTCTCCACGAGCTTCTCGTTGCTCATTTTCTGCTTGCTAAAAATTGTTTTTTAGAATGTTCAGGGAAGCAATTTTTTACAACATGACTAGTTGTTGTTTTCTCAGGTCGCCAATATATCTCACTCTTTAGAGCTGCTCGGACCGAAACATAATCTCTTACCGCCCGGCCTCTCAGCAATTCTATTCTTCGTTTCCTTGCTTTTATCTTTTTATTTCCGGGAAAGAAAAATAGATGTACCCGTTTCCTGTTTATCACCCGTTTCCTGAGCAACCCAGTACTGCAGGAATATTGTTTGTACGATGAGCGAGACGGATAAATGAAGACTCAGAAGTGTTAATTTCTCAAGAATATCCAAAAATCGTGCTTACTCTTTTCTGCATAGCATTGTACACTGTTAAATCATGACGCTGCTTGTCAGCCACATATTTCGTATACGCCATAACTGTTCTATTCAGATCATCCACATTACTCATTAACGATCTAAGACATTTCTCCAGCGACCTGAGATCAAACCCATTTCAACAAATAATTGAAAACAATCGAAACAGATAGGTGGCAGGGTGCATGTTGCAGGAAGCCAATGTATTTTTGCACTCAAACTTATCTAACATTATTTAACAACGTCACCACTTTCCACATTTCAGAGCTAAACTGCCGTTGCTAGATTCGAATAGGTAAATGGACGGAAATCCATAAACACGGTGTTATTAACATGAGTCTTTACATTTACATAAGCGCAAAAAAAACGCAAACAACCATACTTCCTGAGTCTTCGAAAAGTCATACGACAATTAAAAAAATTAAAAAAAAAATTCGCCTTCCGGTCCCGAGTTCAAGATGAGAGGAGAGATGCTGTGTTGCAACGCGGCCACCATCCAATGCCAACTCGGCGAGCATCACATTCACCAAATGGCTGTTCTTGATAACGACAGGCAATTCCTCCAGCATATTCTCGTAATTTAGCCCAGCTGTTCGCGTACTGAAACATACACCGATAAAAATGGCTGAAAACAGCGGCTAGGCAAGAAATAAATCTGTTATTATCACGGACAAGTGCTGTCAATTTCATCTTATTCGACGTGTGATTTTAAGTATAAAAACGTATTTTTACTTTTATTTCCCGATACATGCATATATTATGTACAGTTCTAATACATGAAGGTGCTATGTTCAATATGTTTTTTATTTTAATTCATAAGTACATCTTATAAAATTAAACAGTATCATTATGGAAGCTTTATCAATACGAATAAATAAAGCATGCTACTGAAAGCTGTAAATTATGCTGTTAACGCGTGATATGAAGGAAAACTAAAAACTAATGAAAACAAGGACAGCACCAAGAATAGCAAGCCATGCAGCAAATATGCCACAATTTTTTAAGATATCTAATTTTACGTCGATTTGAACCAATCATCATCGCGTTTTGTTCGATAGAAAACAAACTTTGAGAAATCTCACCTCTCCGGTGACCAATCGCCATCCAAACTCATTTCTAAAGCTTTCGCTGACAAACGATATGCTCGTATGCTTAACTGCCCTTGACGAGTTTTCACTGGATCTAAAAAATGAATATTCTGAAAGTCAAGATCGGACTCAGTCCACTAAAAGCGATGAAATGTTAGCAAATGCTAACAGCTCGCATCGATCTGATGGGATAAGCGAGGATGAGGCGGGGATGAAGGAACGACTTCCGACAGCTCCCTCTTTCTGGTGCTGTTTAGAAGCAGACTTTGGAGGGCCAAACAACAGCAAAGCAACCATTTTGACTTTTCTTAGTTGTTCCAAAAAAGTAGATAAATTTTACCATAAATGAGCACTACTCCATCGGGCACACTGGCTTGGTAGTCAATCAGTGAATCGATCATTTCTTGGGCAAAACAAGCCCCGAATGGATGTGCCTGGTAAAATCCGACAAGCTCATAGTCGATGTTCATATTTCTGCAACAAACATACGTAAACTGTCCGAAAACAAAAGCTTTTCTGACAACGCCATCTGTTATCACAAGGTAATATTTTGGTTAAGGCCCAGTTTAGATGCTGCTCTGACAAATTACTTCTTTTACTAGAGCTGCAAAATCCTAAATTTTCTGAAGATTACAAAAGAAGAGAAAATGTTAACACGAAACCTAAATTTTCGCAGCATATCCAACATCTCTGACTGCTTCTGCTCCTCATAAACTGCACTGGTTTGTCCAATCTCGTCCCCATCAAGTACCGGTTCGGCTCGAGCAGTTGGAAAGCAATTTGTTATTTCAAGGCGTCGCTCCTCAGTTGACACCAGGCCTTAATACAACAGCAGCATTAATGAGGTAAGTGTGGTCACTGAGACGAGTAATGAGCTAGGAAAATTTCAGAGAAAAGGGAAAAAAATATTTTAATGAAAGGCGCTAAGACTAAGCAAAATGTCTCTGGCCCACTTTCTTCTGCGTGAAAAGCATTACCAGTCAGAAGGCCTTGACAAGTTTCGCCTGCTACATCGTTCAGACCAGCATACATCTCCGAATCAACATGCTTGACAATCTTCATAATTACCTACAACACAATAATATTTTAAAATCGGCCAGGAGTCACTTTTTACTGAACACGGAACAGGAAATAATCCAGTAGAGAAGCGAATATAAAATGAGGCTACACAAAAATATTGCAGCTAGAGAGAGGGAATTTTAACAGTGAAAGTAAGAAAAAAAAATAAGCTTTTTGAAAATTCGGACTAATCAGTCATTTGTCTTTGAGAAAAAATCCCTCAACGAACTTCCAAGAATAGATTTTTCTAAGAAACGCTTGCATATACCACGGTGGCGCACACAGTCAGTATAATATAGTTCGATAAATAATGAAAATGCCCCAATACGTCTGCCAAGATCCACGTACAGGAAATACTATTTCAGAACAATTCTGCACCAGTGTAACCCTGACTGTTATGGCCACAGGGAATAAAAGTCACGTGAAAAGGAGATAAAAGACTAGACTAAGTATCATAGACATGTTTGAATGCAATCTGTGTTTTATCCCTTAACCATAACTAAACTTCAAGGATTCTTTTGAACTTTATTTCCCGAACACACAGGAACGGGATTGAATCGTGTGGAATTATGGAAAATCGAAATTCAGAAAAAAAAAATGTGAAGAAAAAAAAGATAAAAAAAAAATAAGAATGCTGAAAGGAACACAAACCAAGCTATCAATTTGAACGAACTGAACAACACTCGGGGTGCTGCCGATGTTCACTGCCGCAGCTACCGTCGACATCCTGAAAAAAACATGGGAATTTCTTCGATTTTAAAGTTTATAAATGAAATAGTCATTTTCATTCCTAACATAACACGCATGGGAGGCAAGAAGATATCTATCTTACTGTGGTCTACAAGCTATAACGTCCGAAAAAATATGGTGATACACAACACACCAAAAACATCTCGAAACGGGGCTTCACTCGGCTGAACAGCGCAGTATGCATTCACTGCTGGATTTGATTCCAGTAGTGACAACTATAGCACTGGGTTTTCTGTTTAGGTGAGATTCTGGGAGTTATGTTTAGTATTGCAGACTTGATAAACATGTAAGCAAGGCAGACAATTTCGTGATCCATGTTAGTCCAAATTTTTCTATTCCTTTTTCCTCTTTTCTGCATGTTTTTTTAATCCTATCTCATCTCGCGCCCATGCTATGTTCATTCAAACATGGTGGTTAGGGAGGCTGTACTGATGATTCCTGCCCCTAATCACGTCTCATGCTGTCTGTGCCTACAGCTTAGGGATGAAACACAGGCAAGCTGATTTCCACATATACCACTTAGCATTTTCTCTTCACATGACGCACTGTTTTTTTGATACATGTTCAACACCACTATCTTTTTTACCTTATTATATTCCCCTCCCACTTCCAATTTAATAGGATTCACCGTACTTAGGATCGACTCTGTCTTATGCACAGCCCAGTTAAATAACCCAATACCGGTTCAGCCCTTACTTTTCCTAATTCCATCCGCCCACAGGGCCCAAACGGCCCGTGGGATCTTTTACTTTTCCTCGGCGTTCCGTTTTATGTTGAGCATAGAAAACGTCATCAGTCCACAAAAAATCCCGTCCGTTTCCAATTCCTACCTCCACTCAAGGTTATTTTTTCAGCCAGTAATCCCGCTCCTCCTTGTTATTACGAACCCCGAGAACTAAACCACCACCACGGTCTTCTGCCCTCTTCCTCGCCTCGCCTCGCTCCTCCGCTACCATTTCCCAGCCATCGAAAGTCTGCAATACTAAACATGACACGCTAAGTCAGAAATTAAACGCCTAGTTAGCAATCTATTCTCATAAAAAGCTCTTCCTAATTACATATAATGAATGCCCGTATCACATGTCAACTTCCCTTCTTTCCTTCCTCTCTTATCTCATTTGCTCCTTCACTTATATCTCTTTCTTTCGCTTATTCGTCTTGCAAATTTGTTACATGACTATTCAAAACATGGCGGGTAGGAGGCTGTACTGATGATTCCATCTCCTTCCCGCATGCACAATCGGTCTATGTATACAACTAAGGGATGAAACACAGACTACATCATAAAATGTCTTCATACATATGACATTCAAGTGAAATCCTTCTATTCTTCTATTTTCTATAAAACCCAGAACCGCACCCACACAGAAAACTCAGCACACTATGGTTTCCGCTACTCTAACTAAATCCAATCTATGAATAAAGCAAACTGTGAATTGCAGCAAGCCTAGGCACAAGTACTGGAAAAGCAAAAAACAGCAGAGCCGAGTCGAACCTAGTAAAAGGCTAAACCGTGCCAAATGCTTTTGTTGAAAGAACAACTGAGCTGCTAATCCGTTCAGGAGACGAAGTAAACATCTATCAGGGGCTTAGCTAGCAAACTATGAAGCACTGGCTGAAGCAATCGGGAAAGTCGCCAGCTGAGGAAGCGAACTATAAATTACAGCGGGCCCAGGCCTAACTATTGGGAAATCAAATAAATAGCAACGCGCACCAGACTAGCCAGTGCGATCATGCTTTTTGTGCAATTCAATTCATCGAACGATTGCTTATTAATGATTTTCACTGCTTTGTGTTTTAGTCTATGCAAAAATAGTCCAAACATTGGAAAACAGTTAAAAATTTCACGCACCAGCGCATGAAAGCTGAATTCGAAACCTTGAAAGGTGAATATCTTTCCGTGATTCCCGAGTTAATAGTTTACCCGCCAAAATTTTCACGAGGTCGTAGGTGATACTCAAGAGCCAATATCTTTATTCCGAGTTAGTTTAATCGTTAAAATTTTCACGAGGTCGTAGGTGATACTCAAGAGCGCGGGAACACTGAATTTGAATCGGCAGGGTTGAGCGTGGGCAGGGGGTCATTACCCTAAAATTTCAGCCTCCTAGACTCCGTGGTTTCCGAGATATTAATTTACCCGTAAAAAACTTTCACGGAGCCATGAGTGTTACCCGCGGGTACGGGGAAGCTGAATTTAAATTTGCCGCGTCACCCGTTGGCGGGGAAGACTACACCAAAATTTCAGCCGCCTAGCTTTTGTGGTCCCCGAGTTGAAAGTGCGGGACAAAATGTG